TAACAGAGATGCCCACCTCTAGAAATCTAAAATCTGGACATTCTAAAATTTTTCTCAATGGGGGGGGGGGGTGGGGGGGGGGGGGGGGGGGGGGGGGGGGGGGGGGTTGTAGGGGGGGGGGAGGGCAGGAGTAATCATATCTTACTTTGAAATCCGAAAACGCCGCCTGTGGTTGGGACTACCGCCGTTTAAAAAACCGCTAGAGAATTTACTTCAAAACATCCACTTTAGTCTCGACGTACCTGACTGCCAAGTCCAATCATTATCAGCATGCCAAAGAACAGCACAGACCACAGGGGCGAGAGTGGCAACTTTGCTGCAGCTTCTGGGTATACTACAAATGCTAAACCAGGACCTAGATAAGACAATAAATAAATCTTAATAGATAAACAAACGGTGGTAAATTTTCCAGACAAACAGATTGTAGAAATCAAATAAGATTATGATATAACGCTTTTCAGACACGGGACTATGGATGACACTTTAATGTTTTAATGTAATACACACTGCGAACCAAACCTTAGTTTAACTAAGTTTTCTTAGTCGTGTATCTGTTTCCGGGTCTGATAGTCATACTGACTTATGATTTGGCCAGTTTCACTAGTATGCTTATTAATTTAACGGTTCTAATGGGACTTCCATATCTTTGGCTTAAGTTAGCTCTCAGTAGTCTTGTCTGCTAAAAACACTGATAAAAACTTACTGGAAAAGGATGTTTCGAGCTAAGTCAGTCTACGACATACAGGTACGAACCTTGTCTAACAACCTTGCTGATATCCTCTCCTGTTTCATATGCCATAAATCCTATCACCGTAAACACTACTAAGCCTGCAAAAAGACATGTTATAGTGTCCACCACAGAGATCAGAATGGAATCCCTGAAAAAATACATGACATTGTATATGATTTTCTACTGCTATCTGATATTAACACTTTCACCGTGACTTACAGAGAAAAAAGACGAATAAGTGCCATCTGTTCAGGTAAATCGGAGAACTGCAAGCGAAGGTGTGCCATTTTGCGTATTGCAGATCCACTCTCACTCGAGAAGACATATATATATATATATATATATATATATATATATATATATATATATATATATATATATAAGAACTACTGTCGACTAAGATTACAACATGGCATTTTAAAAGAAAAAAATCAGAACCTACCGCAAACAGTTATGATGAAATGGGTTGTAACTAGCGTAAGTCAAGAGTCCTCCCCAGCCAACACCAGTTGAGTAGAAAATCTGTGCCGCGGCTTCTCCCCACACCTAAACATTTGAACACATTCAGAAAATATATATCTGAGGTAAAACATTAAAAGCATTTTTCATTAGAGGTCCAAATGTTTGTGGATTGTGGCACCAATTACGCGGCAAATCTTTGGATCGAAATAAAAAGAGTTCGGTGACTGGTTAACAATAGATAAATTGCCAGTACATGTAGATACAACACGTTTGGAAAAAAATTATTCTCTTAGTTGTTAAAAACATCATACTGGATATTACGCAGAGAGGTCATAAATACGTAAGATTGCAATTTAAGTGAGAGATTGAATTAAGATTTTGATATAGGGCATGCGTTTTGAAACATTACATCCTTCTCATAGAATGGAAGAGATGAATTGAACCCTGGACATCGAAGGAGTCTATTCTTAATTAGAACAAAGGGATATATTTCTCGCGCGCATTCAAATTAAAATATGACTTCAAGATCCAAGCTTTTAACTATAAGGGGGTGCACGGTCAACACAGGGTGAGAATAAATTGAACACACTTCATCCGGCACACATACAATCGAAAGACGATAGTGAATGGGTCCAGAAGGAAGGGTTCGGACACAAGGCCTGTGTGATCCCCCTTCCCCCTCCCCCTCACCTTGAAATTTAATAATTTTTCCCACTCTGGTATGAGATAGAAGATGACACCGCCTAGAGACCCGGGCAAAGTCAACCCTCGCACCAAAAGAACGGCCAAAATCACGTATGGCACCGTAGCTGTCACGTATACGGCCTAAGCAAAAGAAATACATTAATATTTATTTCGGCACAAGAACACAGATTATGATTACGACTTAAGCATATATTTTATAACTACAGCACTAAAACTACAACAACAATGTAAAAATCGATTTACACAAAGTCAAGTGTGACTATGTAACGGTCGATTTGGAATACTCTTTCATTCATTGTCTGATGCATATTTGTAACATAACATACTTGGCGTTAATTAATAGTAGGCATTGTTCAAGTCCCTTGGGCTGGGAAGAAAATACAGGACGCAGCACTTGCGTAATCGAGAATAATACACACTGTAGGGACTATGACGACAAATGTGAACTGGTGGCATTTTCGACAATTTGTGATAATTCAATCTGCTGGAGGGTTCATCCATCTTCATCTCATGGTAATCAGTTTTATTTACAAACCAATAACACTTACCTTCCCCGATGTTTTAATCCCCTTTACCATGCAGATAAACGTAAGTAACCATGCTCCAATCGAGCACAGAAGCAGCTCCCAGCGAAGCACTCCAATTTCTTCAATTCCACTTGTAATTTGTAAAACATTGTTCCTACATGAAAAGCAATAAGTGTCTCAATGTCAGTCCTCTGTGCAAAATTAAGTGAGAGACACAAGTAGTTTGCTCAGTAGATTTCACATTTCTAACAAGACGTATTGATTAAAGGAGAAAAGGTTGTCAAATGATTATATACCTCGTTTATCAGTTTATCTATATTTATTATTGAAGCAAGAGACAAGGCCCAGCAAACTTGGGAAAAACATACCCGGTATAAGCACATCATCTTAAATGAATACAACTAAAAAAGTGCCATATTTTCTTACTGCCAAAACTGTTCACTTGACGTCTCGTATCGAACGGTAGTATTCACTTGCCAAAGAGTTACGTTGACTGTATCATTTAGAAGGGCCTCGCCGGAACTGGAGTAATTGAAGGCCATTTCAAAACCTTTTGTCGTGTTGGAAAAATTTCCCGTTTTTTCCCCGTTGCTGGCCACACAAAACTCGTCATTCCAACTATTCTGACAGCTTGCCCATGGAACTTCGGCGCGAAACGAAGAAATAAAATAGAAAATGGCCCAAGCTACGATGACATTGTAGTAACAACCGACGATTCCCGAGATAATTACCATTCCATAACCTATGCCTAAAATAAAAAAATAACAAAAGTAACACTCACTGAGTTTTATTTATATTTTCTAAATTAACTAATTTTATATTTATTCTTTCTTTCTTTATTTATTTATTTATATATTTATTTATTTTATTTATTTATTTATTTATTTATTTATTTATTTATTTATTTATTTGGGGGGGGGAGTATCTCGTTCTCGACATTATTCATATCAGAGTTTTACTTTCAGTACCACTTGAAATAAAAAGAAAGAGGGGAAGAATGTTGTGGCATAATACATGATAAAACCTGCGACAGAAATGGGCTCAGCTTACAAAGTGTTAATAAGAAAAGACCTATTTGGCTGTTCCGCAGGTAAAAACAAAAAACCCTCTTACCTTTGAAAAGAGGACTTAGTCTCCAAACGGTAATTGGACTCAGTCCAGAAAACTGGGCATAGGAAAATTCCATTAGTAATAAAGGGATAACACATATGGTCATAAAGAACACGTATGGAATCAGAAAGACACCTGCAACATAAAAATAATTCACATTTAATGCTATTCACTTTCCATAACATGCATTAACTTTACATAACATGCCTCAACTTAAACATAAGGTATAATTTACTCTTTCAGCAGCTTTTATTTAGAATCCATATTGCAAACATAAATTGTCATGTGATCAACTGATGATCTTTCTTGACGAATGTTTTTGAAATTATTTTTTTCTGGCAGACACGCTCCTTTGAATCGATCTTTTAAGAATCGAACTGCGGTACGTCTTGCCATGAAAACAATCAAATACATTAAACATGTAGAAGGGAAATAAGAACTTGGAGAAACCTTTCAATACCGGAGTATTTTTCAGTTTTCATGCGATCAAAGCGTGACACTTTAACGTATGCCAAGCAGACGAACCGATTGTATATTTCTAAATAAATAGGTCATCAGGTGGGGTCAAGCATAGTACAACGTTTTGGATGAAAAGTTATCAATGCCCGATCGCAAGCCTTCAAGTTTCTTTATAATAATCAAGATTTATCAAACTCAATGTATGAAGACAGATGTAAAAGACAATCGTTATAGTGGTTATGAATGCATTATTCTTTTGTTCTTCCAAAACTTGGTACGGTTTAAAAAATTGACAAAATGCAAATTCCGTTCAGCAGTGTCCATGCATAACCGAGGCTCTAATTAGTCAAATTATTCGATTTTATCTTAAATTTTGGTAGGTTGCTTTTAAGAATGTAATAATGGAACCGTTTTCTAAAAAAAAAAAAAGTGTCAGTTGAATGCTTCTGAATTTGACCTTTCCTCAGCAGACGGCACAACGACAACCTCAGCCGATCGACATGATACAGGTATTGTTATATATGTTTGCTAACAGATAGCTACATGCAAGTGTCAGATTCCATAACAATGTGGGGGTATTGGGCATAAGGCATAACAAATATAAACACATGTATTTTTGTGAAACTGCCCACTTTAGGTTGGGTCTTACTAAAGAAATTCCACAGACAAGAAAATTTCAATTCTTCAAAAGAAACATATGACCACCCTGAGCTTCAGAGCTAACTTGACACTAACCTTTTCACTGTAGCCTATCTCCATCGTGTCAAGTAACCTCTGACGAAAATAGTTTGACCTATTTTATATAAGCCAATCGAATCCATGTTTCAAAATTTTTCACCAAAGTTTGGTGAAAACGCTGATTGGTTGATCGTCAATCGGCAATCCTCGGCTGATTCCGCAAGCTCCATACTAACAACATAGTTATTGTCGAGTGCGGAGACATCCGAGTAGTTCCGAGTGGTTCCGAGTGCATAACCGTACACAAAGAAAGCATGGAGTATATCGGAATTGAAACCAGAGCAGTATGATGCCCTGCATCATTATCTACTGAGGGATGATGTATTTTGCGTGCTGCCCACAGGTTACGGCAAGTCCCTGATATTCAGCCTTATCTTTGATTGGTCCGGATTTGAACAAAGCGCGCTTTGACTCGTTCGCGTTCATTGGCTAGATCGTTCAATGAGTCATTGAGTGCGGGCTTTAAATTTGATTGGCGGGCGGCGGGGGCACTCGAATCTGGTCAGAGGTTACTTGACACGATGGAGATAGGCTACAGTGAAAAGGTTAGTGTCAAGTTAGCTCTGAAGCTCAGGGTGCATATGACAGTCTTTTTGTCGAATGCTTAGTGGAAGATATCATTTTACCTATGTCAACAGACTAAAAGAAAAACAAGAAAAATGGTCGCCACATAGTATAAAACACAATATGGGGCCATGCCAGCCACAAAAAAAGTCACAGCAGTGACGAACATAATTTGTGCAATATTTCCATTATTCTGACTTGCCCCACAATTCCATAATTTTCTTTGCCTTATACAGTGTACTATAGAACCCTCCCATATGGAAGGAAATCAACAGTAATCAAAGAGAGATACAGAAGAGTTAAGCAAATATTACACTTAATGTGTACGTCACTGATGAGACTCAAATGTCATTTTTTTATGGAATAACCCCATTTCAGGTCATTGCTTCCTCTTCCGCTGCAAAGAGGAGCTTACGATTTCAAGAGCTTTTAACGTGCACGGACTAATTTTTCTTCCTTTTTGAACGTTTTGAGAGAGATATACAATGCCATACCTCCTCCGTTTCTATAACAAAGATATGGAAACCTCCACACATTTCCGAATCCTACTGCCAACCCAATACAAGAGAGCAAAAACTCCGCCTTGTTATTCCAGTTTCCACGTGCAACATCATTCTTTGGTTTCTCTGATTTCTTTTCTAAAGGAACTGCAACTTCGTCAGCAAAGTCACTATCCTTGTCTTCCATCCTCAAATCTACGCAAAATAACGATAATTTTCAGCAACAAGATTCAATTTCAGGTCGTTTAAAGGTGTCGCTGCGGTTGGGTGGTTGCTTTTAGATGCTGGTATCTTTTAAACAGAACACATTCTTTTATAAAGTTTGGTATTTTTTTTTTCAATTTATTATTGCCATCATCTTTTCCCCTTCTTGAACTTTGTTGTGGGTTTCTCATATTACGTTAACTCGTGCCTTACCCGTCTTTATAGAGTCGCGTAGGGATAAAATATTTTAAGTAGATAGGTGCAAAGTCACTCTGCAGAGGTACATGTACAAACACGCTAATGGACACTTATATGCATCTCTTAAAGAGCACATTCTTATTCTTATGGTGTATGAAAATGGGGACATTTGTTGATGTTTTTTTCAATTAATAGCAGTTTTGTTACCCCTATGGTTACCAATGTGATGTTGTTGGTGGTAGTTGTGTTTCTCTTTGTGCATAACTTTTAAAATTATATAAATAAACCTACTGCACTATTGAGTGGTGGGGACAAGATGTCGCTTAGATCAACGAACAATAGGCTTATATATATAAAAAACTGTGGGTTGTAAGAAGTGTAAGACACAGGTGTAATACGATTGTGACTAGTGAGGAAGACAGAAACCCTGAGATTATGTCACTGGATGACGCTCTCACTGTGTGTGGTTATACATGTACCCATCTTGGGCTTTGAAACTGGAACCTCATCAGGACAGGGTTGAAGCGACCAACTGTGAGCCAACAGATATAGTCAGCATGAGACAGCTAGTAATTCTCCTCGTGTGTAAAGGAATTTCAGAAAAAGTGCGCAGGATCTACAAAAAGCACAGCAGACAAGGCTTTCAGACCCCAGTGAGAATTGAAAGAACGCCTAGTCGTACCAAAGGACGGGATCCCTCAAGGACATCGTTGAAGGACTGTATATCAGATTAATTGCCACAAACGTTATTCTTTTTTTACATTGGTGAGACAGGCTAACAGTGAAAGTTCACGACTACTGGACACAAGAAGTCAATGACTAGCAATAATAGCTCTGCCATTTCTGAACACGTAATACACACCGGCCACAGTTTGTCAGGGGCGGATTTAGGCCGTCTTCTGGGTCTTCCAGAAGACGGTCAGATTTTCAAGTTTACATTGATCAATTTGATGGGTATCTTCTGTCGGAAGACGGTCAAAAATGAAGGATGAATCAACAAATATAATTTAAAAGACTGTCAGAAAATATCTTTGGGTCCGCCCCTGACAGTATTAACTGGAATTTTACCAAGATCTTTGAATCCGAGTCATCCGACACCCCGCGGAAGATGCGAGAATGGGGGGAGGGGGTCGTCGATGTACTTAACATTTACAATGCGGCTGACATTAGAGTCCTGGCCGCAAGCTAACGTATGGTGAGGAAAATTCCCCCATCCTGTGTCAAATAGTTATTTTGAGAAAAAATAGCAAAGAATCTGGGTTTGTGGAAATAATGAAAAAGAAGCCCTGACTTATGGTCACGCAGCAAGGAGTTTTGCACCTTTTTAGTGCAAACATGATTCAAGTTTCATTTCTGACATGGGCCCTATAGATTTTTTGGGCTGCATAAATAGAGTAGAGATAAAGATATCAATCCACTTTAAGTAAAATAATTCAAATTACTGACAAAAATATACTCGGCTCCCAGGACCTTCACCCAGTGCCACATAATATGGCTTGACACTGTTATGATCTCAGCACGACGCAGAATGACGGTCCAAGAACGTACCTATATGAATATTTATAATAGCTTACAAGCAGGCCTATTAAGTTTTCAATTGTTCATTACAGTAAATGAGTAGTTAATCAAGTAATCCAAGGGCAAATTGTTCAATGGCCTTTACTGTTTGTGCCAACAATACGATACTCTTATTCTTATAACGATTCTTTATTGAAACAAGGTATCAATTCATAAAGAGAACTACACAATGCACATTTCAGACCAAGAGGAATGTGTAGCATTACAAGATCAGCTAACAAATACAACCTGAAAAGAACTGCGCTGTTTTGTTGGAATAAATTTGCATTCTTTATCTTCACTACAATATTGGACATAAACTTTTTATTAGTTAAATTGAGAAAACACTGATCAGAATTGGAAAATATACAATCTTTATACATAATTAGCTTAAGACAATCGTCAAAATGAAAGAGAAAGCTTAACCGCCCCCCCCCTTACAAAAAAACAATAATAATAAAGAGAATTAACACCTGAATAAACTGCAGATGCTAGCAGCAATGCAAAATTTTTATCCAGAAGAAAAACTTCTATTAACTTCTATTCTTGTCAGAATTGCTATAGTTCATCATGTATGTCTTCAGACTGTTTAGCAGGTGCAGTACAGGCAGCAGGAGTCTCAAAGTCAAATGTGTATTCACAACGATTTGGTTCAGCCACATTTCTTAACTCATTTTTCATTCCACAATGTAAGGTGATCTGCAAGATACAAAGAATATAATTACACAGATAATAAAAGTAAAATAAAATTGATTCCAGGTTTTATTCAAACTAGTACTTAACTACAATCTAAGGAACAACTAATGTCATTTTTTTTTTTTTGCATGGCTACCAAATGCGTGTAAGTTCAACCACCTGCTTAGTCTTAAGAAATCAAAACCTACTGTAGCAGATCTGTCAGGACCATTCCAGCAGCCCTGTCCTCTCTCATATTTCATTTTCAAATATATATTTTCTTCTGGTCCTGTCCACTTGCCCCATGTTCTAAAAGTGAAGAAAATATTTTGTCACATCAATGAAGAGTTTTGAGTTCATTGTGAAATAATGAAGAACTCCACATCTTTAGTTACAAAGGAAAATAATTATAGTAATTAAATAAATAATATTTATGCATGGAAAATATCAAACTTCTTACCCAAGACTAGTTTCAGAGCCTCCATTCTTTGGCCTCTGTGATGCTTTATCAAATGGGCAAAGCTTATATACATATTCTCTGTCAGTGTACTCAAAGCACTGGCCTTTCAGTGGGTAGAAAGCATCATCTGGGCCCAAGTCTAGGGTCAGGAAGTGATTCAAATCACTGAAAAAATTTGCAGAAATAACTATGCTAAACATTTTATTCCAGTTGAATGTCATTTATTGAAAATCATTTGAACTTTTGGATATATATTTATAAAACTTGGTAACATACTGATCATGCTAAAGAGATCTAATTTTGCAACATTTTCAGAAAATTCTTAGCAGTACAACATAGCATATATATCATCTTATCTATTTCCATATAAATAACTTACTTCATCTCATTTTCTAAATCTTTGAATTTCTGTTCAGCAACTGTAAATTCATGTCTTGCATTATCAGCAGCTAAAAGGAAAGGAAAGTTATTAGTTTACTTCCCTTTGTTCTATAATAGATACAAATGCCAATTCCTCATCAAGTTTTAAAAAATTCAATTATCCTCGATGCTACATTAATGAATGCAAATACAATTGCCATTGCTGTTCATCAGTTAAATCAAAGTTACACCATCATCAACAAAGTCTAAATGTGAAGTGTACTCTGAGACATTACCTTGTATCAAAACCTTTGTTTCTTCATCATAATCTGGCATTTTTTCTTCTTCTTCCTCCTCTTTCTTTTCATCAGTCTGTAAAAATATCATCCATTTTAAACATCCAAAAGTCAATGAGATTGAATAATCTGTTATAGCAAAAACTATTGTTGACCTTGGCTGACATCTGATCTAAAAGGATGCTCAACTCATCTTAGTCATCTTTTAACTCTGCCACTAGAGCAAACTGTTATTGTGTTGACAATGATTTTTACTTCCAATGATGACACATCCCCATTTAAGTATCTCAAATACATTCATTGTGGAGTCATCATCAGAGTCAACCATGTACTTAATCTGATAGCAGTGGTCTTCGCTCATCTCAAAACTTACTTAGGCCCATGCGCAGTGTGAAACGTTGAAGAAACACACCATTTCAGATATTGAAATGTTACATGTATATTCCAACCAATCAATAGAAGAAATACTACTGATCATAGCCAAACAAAGTTCTAATTGTTACCACGTGTCCACATTGCATAAATCCATGAAGTGCTAAGCTTGTGCCATACATTTAAGTACATGCCACAGCCATACAACAATGTTGATATTATTATCACAATCAGCTCTTAAGCGCACTGTGAACATCTTAAGACCAAAAATATTTTGGTCAAAGTATGACAAGTATGTCCATGTCATAAGAACTTCACGAAGCCTTCATAAACATTAAATGCTATGTGAAACAATAAAAAAAAAAAAAACTTTTTTGAAGCTATGTTTCCAAAACATGTTTCAAATGTCACTGAGAGCATTTTTTATGGATGTTTGACATGAACATTTTCAGTAATGGATGATTTCAATACTTTCATTTTCTCTGTTGAACTTACTGGTAGCACATTTCTGTACACCAGACCTAAAGCTATTTGGGCTTGTCAATGATTTAAACAGGATTCAAGATTACACCAGTCTTAACAGAATTTATCTGATATAAAGAAACACCCCTTTTCAATAGTCATTTCTTGAGACAGAGACTATGTTAGTTTAACCCACTACATAACTTTCAAGAGTGGTGTTAGTGCATGCACTGACTATTTTTTCAGGATACTGAATAGGACTTGGGAGTGTCAAAAGCAAGAAAGAAGTACCCCATATTCATGGTCTTCATCATCTTTCTCATAATCCTCGTCATCTTTGTCATAATCCTCCTCCTCCTCATCATCATCATCACCGAGGTCTTCATCCTCCCCTCCCTGGGATTTAGTTTCCTAGAATTTTGGACGAAGCCAGGGTCAATTGTCACAGCCTGATTACTGTAGAAGCTGCCACCACCACCACCAATATTTCAAGGCACTTCATGCCTAAAATCACCCAAACTTTTTTATCCCACAGTTATCATCTCATATTACACTAACACCATTGTCAGCTTATACCACTTCCCAGTCTACAGTAACCCTGCATGCAATCCTGAGAGTTCTGTGCACCACACAAAATTTAAGACCTGCAGGGACAGATCAGTGAACACTGCTGATTTAATATGATCATGTTTTGTACCAGATGTATTTGTGAATGACCATTTATTTGTGACTGTTTTTCATGGACAGACAGTTGATAATATTTCAGCTACTGTTTAACTCTTCAAACTTTGTTGTGAGGTGTCCAGTTTTTATACGGGTCTGAACCAGCTTGTTACATACATGTGGCACACAGTCTTTGTAATACTATGACACTTACAACCAACAGACCTCTCATTACCTGCACCAAGTTGGTTCAAATATTTATGTAGTACCCATTCTGTTACCCTCACCAAAAACCATCCATCTACATAAAAACCTTCGGTCTCAAAACAATTACTTCAACACATTCACAATACCATCTTATCCTAATATTTTCTGTTGTAAAATAAAACCTCTCCGTTCATATTCTGAAATACTAAGTGATCCTTACTGGTGATGGAGCGACCTCAGCCTCTTCAGGAAACTCTGCTCCCTCCTCCATCTCCTCACCAGGGGGTGTTGCCTCCCCCTTGGCTGACTCCTCTTTTTCAGGTTCTGGGAACTTTATGATATCCTTGATATTGGGCCAAACTTTCTCCTGGAATGTTTTGATGTCCACGGAATTGTGGTCTTCCAAATATTCCTGCAAAGCAGAACAAATGATTAACCATAACAGAACAATGCCTTATAATCTATGCGCTGATTGCTGTACATCTGTCACAGGATGCAAATATGAGACTGGCTTTTACAAGTAATGGTGTGCTTTTCAAAAGCCTATGGCTAGCTGGCATTCATTCAAAGACAAAGCAAACCATAAAAAAAGAAAATATTCTTCAATATATGCACACAACTTAATGTTAGATTGTGTCTAAAATAACAGAAAGTAAAAACACCACTATTTTAATAATACACAACATTAGTTTTGCACTCACTTGGGTGACCAAATGAACAAAAAATCAAGAAAGGGAAGATACATAAAATAAAAAAATTATTTTCACTATTTCATTGGTCTGTTTCAGAAGATGAAAACTTTGCACACTAAAAGCACGTGTGGCATCAAGGCAATAAAGATGACCTTCCTCAAGAAGAATCTGCTTTATATTTGGGCTCATCACTGGGATCAATATTTCCTATGACCCCCTCCCATACCTTTCCAGATGGTAAGGTAAAACCATTCTAATATACTTTGGTAACACTATGTGTGCTAGTGTTAAAGCAGAACATAAGTGTTAGACTTAAGGTAATGCAGGTTAGTCCCCATCATGCCAAAATACTCTTGGTTCATTGGGAAGCTGTCAAACTGAGGACAAAGACTGTGGCAAACCATTCATCTTATATATCTAAATGTACTGACATCATGGCAACTTCTCGTTGATGACACAATTTGCAACTAATCCAATCATAATATCTAAATAATAATATCAGAAATTGGAAAACAAATGGCTTTAAAAAATCCATAGTGGTACAAGGTCCCTCCACCCCTCCCTGTGTTTACTCTGACCTTTGCCTCATCCTCCTCCACTGTCCCATTTACATCAATATCAAATTCTGAATGCGTCTGGACTTCCTCCCAGGTCACCCTGCAATCATGGACGGCAGAAAGAGCAGATCAAACACATCAGAGAAGAAAAACAACTCATAAAAAGGTGGAACACGAGAGTGACCATGACTGTCATAAAAGGATCCTCTGATGTACATGAGGTAGCCCAATTATATGTAGTCATCTCAAGTCCCTCCTTCGAAATAAAAGTGCACAAATCACATCAAAATACCTGTTGCTCTTGTTCTGACACCTGACCATCTGAATTTTTATCAAATTCTGGGTGTGTTGCTAGTTCTGATGTTGTTATACTGAAATAGGCATCATCATCTTTCTAAGTGCACTCAAACATTTAAGACAAATATATACAAAATCAATTCATTTTGAAATTACTGTTATCTTGAAAACCAACATAAAGGCTACCATTTAATATACATCAAACACCAATTAACAGATTATTTTGGTTTCACAGCAAACAATTTCTTTTAACAACTCACATCCCATCTGCATTGCTGTCCAATTCTGCAAAAGCCTCTTCAACTTTCTTGGCTTCTTTTTCTGCTTCACGTAGTGATTTTTCCTCTGAAAGATATAATTTCAGTTTATTTTTCTCATAATGGGGCACATTAAGTGTTAAAGAAACAACAGCAAATATCATTACGCCAGCAATTTAGAATAAAAATTGTTGTAAAAATGTAATATCTAGCTATTTAACAAAAATGTCTCTAATGAGTTTAATTAGAAATATTGACAATTTACCTTCCCAAGCTTTCTGGTGTGCATCTTTTGCTTCTTTTTCAGGCTTTTCTGCCTCATTTTTAATATCTAAAAAAAAAATAATAATAATAATAAATAAATAATTTAAATGGTACGAAAAAGCAAACGGATGATATTTTTTAATACAGTGTAACTCCAAAAACTCAGTTTCAGGATTTTTTTTATATGATTACTGTCAGTTGCAAGATTTTAAAAAATATTATTTCTCTTTTATTTCTACCTCCATAAAATATCCTTTACATTTATAACTGCAATCCTTTTATTCCAAGTCAGTAGCACATCTATTAATCTGATGAGTGGATCTGCTTAACTCATGATTAACATACTTTCTAATTCATTTTTCTTTGCCTCAGCTTCATCTTTTTCTTTCTCTAATGCTTCCAGTCTTGCCTTAAAACAAAATAAATTTATTTAAAAGACAGAATACACAAGAAAATACCATCTTATAATCTATGTAACTCTGCCAAAGTATTAAACAATAACGGATTTTATGAAGATAAACATTAAAAGGAAATTCAATTTTGTATAGATATAAACCTTTGTGAATATCCATTGTACGCTATTTTATAGATCTATAGAGAATTAAAATTTCTTTTTACTGTTACTACATCAGGGATGCAACTGCCATTTAGTAAAAAAAAGTCAGAAATTATGGCATGGGGTCCAGGGGGCCACATAGGCTAATGATATTTTTGGCTCCCACAAAATTCGAAATTCCGCTGGAAGTCAGAAAAATCTCATCCCTGCTACTTAAGATCCAATGAAATTATTTAAGTTATTTGGACTTTAATGAATGTTACAATGACTTACAAGTGGGACAGATATAAAAACTCACTCTTTTTTCTGTCTTTGCATCCTTGCCTTGTTTAATATAATCATCCCTGATTTTCACCCCTTCCTGCAATAGCTGTTTCATCCTTTCCTGTTCCTCTCTCATTGCCCTCCCCATTTCTCTGAAGTAATACATAAATTACATACATAACAATGACATTAAGTCACACTACAATGTTGAAATACTTAACTGCACTGTACTGCACAATTGCCCATATTAAAATGGAACAACTGTATTGCTGTCCAATTCTGCAAAAGCCTCTTCAACTTTCTTGGCTTCTTTTTCTGCTTCACGTAGTGATTTTTCCTCTGACAGATATAATTTCAGTTTATTTTTCTCATAATGGGGCACATTAAGTGTCTAATGGCTACTAATAGCTGCGCCTCAATATAATTGTGCTCCTGTATGTCACATAGTACAGTGGACTACTCGCCTTGTAACAAGTACATACAGCATTCACTAAATCCATTTGATGCAGTATATTAAAACCCTTGTTGAAATTTTAATGACATCTGATTAATAAACAGCACATAAAAATGGTTTCTGCTTTAACATGTTTGATCAATTCACTAAAGTTCTTCACCTGCATGTATTAACACAAGTAGTTTCTCCTGAGTATTCATCTGTTCCATCACAGCAATCTGCAATAGTATTGAATCATCATTATCATGTATTAACTCCTAAAATTCATCAAATCTTGATAATTACACAAAGTGCTAGATTATCAGGCCTGTAGCCAGGGGGTGTTCGGGGGGTTCAAAAGAACCACATTTTTTGCTGGGAAAAAGGTCCACTCTGGATTAAATTTCATCTAGATACATGAAGGTTTTATGGTAAAAGGTCCACTTTTTCAGAAAACGAACCCCCCCAATTTTAAATTGCTGGCTACGGGCCTGATTTCAGTTATCATCTAATTTTGGTTAATACTCAGTCAACAATGTGACTTCCATCAAAGACTTTTTATAAACAAGAGGTTGCTGGAAAGCATGGAAAATCAATGCAGGAAGTAGCATGCAGAATAAAGATGAGCAAATTCACAATTTCAGTGTTTCAAAATAGTTCTTGTATGTCCCTCTATCAAAAGTATCATTTATTTACAAGTTACAAAATTAATCAACTGGCTTAAACAAACAAACAAACAAAAATTTGGCAATCAATCATTAAATACATGTATATGGTTCACTTACCACAGATCCCATCATTCACCCTGGAAGATGGCATAGTCAGGGGCCTGTAGCCAGCATTGGTACAGTGAAAAGACCCATTGGGACAGGCTGACGTACCTGTAAGTAACCAGGTAGTCCACAGTCTTGACTTGATATTAAATGTGAGATTTCTACATGAAAAATGTGATCATCAGTAGACATGCTTAAGCATATTTTAACAGAATTTTGACAAGTTTTGAAGTCAAAGAAGTCAAGGAAGAAAAATCAAAAATAGTGTTTGCTATTAATAACTTCCATGATTTACCTATTAGCAATAAACATGCATTGAAATATCATGTCTGAAAACAAATTTATAGGCAAATCTATGTCCACCCACTCATACATGATTGTTTTTATAGTTCATGACTGTATGTATGTGGTATGTGTATGTGCATGATGCATGTATGTATATACATGCATACATACATATACATGGACAGTGATAAAATCCCACAGCAATCAACTCACCTGGTTCATCTGAGCCATCTTTACAGTCACAGTAGTCATCATTTATTTGTGAATATGGAATAGTATCAGAATTATCAAAACAAGTAAAACTATCACCAGGTTTATAAAGGGATGATTCTGAAAAATAAAAAATAAATTGTTGCCAACAACAGTGTCTATTTTATCAATAAAACTCTACAGCTGAACATTTCTTTATTCCAAAGAACATAAAAGAATATGTAATTCACTTGAAATTTGCTGACTGTGTCATATGCTTTAGATACAAAATAGAAATCCTAAAAAATGTTCATGTCTTCTGAGTAACTTTTAGGAATATATCAGTTTATGACACAGCAGTAACCATTAACTTATACACCCCATTGCTAGCTTCAGTCGGGCTCAACTCAGTCAAGTTATCAAACAATGAAATCTATGAGCATGCCCCCTTAAATGCAAGTACTCACTTGAAATAGATACTCCTCTTGGTCTATCAACTTTAGCTTGAGATAAAGATAACAACAAAATATTTATCAGAATTAACTGTCCTGTTTTACATAAACTGCAAAGCATTCTCGACCTAAGGCTAACAACGTGCCCCCTTTTGTCAGCCATATTGGTATACTGTGACAAAATGGCAAGTCTTGATTGGCTAAATCAGAACGAGACGATAGGGAATCCCCGGAAAACCCCCATCATGAAAACGCTGCAATGGTGTTATTGTGTAAACGCAGAGGAATCGGTTCAGTGGTGGGAAATAACTTGTCTTGTTTTTAGCGAAAACAGGATCGAATGATATTACGTAATATCGTCTCTTGGTGCCATTAGTGGAGCTTTACAAATATATGATTCATGTAACGTTATCATTAGTTTACTTAGCTAAAAGAGGTAGGCCTACTGGAAATAGATAAAGGCCCCTACGAACATGATCTTTCGACTTCATGACTGCTCGTGAGCGACTTTTTTTTTTAGTAAAATCATGTTTTTGTGCATTCTTCCATTTATTTATGATGGTTCAAACGAATAGTGATTATTTTCTCCAAGATACACCTAATTTCGTGAGTCTGTTATAATTAGCACTGCACCCCCCCCCCCAAAGGTTCATCCTTTCATTCTAAAGAAAACACTTAGTTCCACGTTTTAGTTGTATCGAATCCTCTTCATACATGTATAATAAAACCAGAGTTAAATATCTCCAAACCCCAAACTTCAAGTAGATTTATTTATTTTTAATTAAAACATTTGTGTATCAACATATTTTTTCTAAAAATATTCCATGATGACAGTGCAATTAATCATGAAACCAGCATGACTTACTTGGGATAAACAAGTACGAATATACAAACAAAAGAAATATTGATTCTAAAGATGCCCCGACGTTTTGTGCTTGATGAAAGTACTTATTTCAATACTAACGCATTAAAAGACTGTACCATAACGCAAGGTTGTGCATAATTTGTGAAATTGGTGCCCATGAACGACTATAAGATTAATGATTTCGGGACATGTTATTTGTGCCTGAAGACACATTTAAGAACAATTAAATTTGCAAACCCGATTAAAACCTCCTCCAGTGACTGTTTCAGCCATTTCGTTTACCTTACAAATAGCAAATAGAACAGGACTGACACTGATCTTTCTGTTAGGGGAGAGGAGGGGTACTTGACAATTATTTAAAAAAAAAACAGTAAGTACTACCAAACACAAATGACAAAAAGTTTACTTGCATTAAAGTAGAAATGATTTAGTACATGTACTGTATATATATATATATATATATATATATATATATATATATATATATATATATATATATATATATATATATATCACTAATTATTATACCTAATTATACCACAATTCCTTGCATATCTTGGTGTTTCATATGCATTATTTTGAAATGCCTTTTGTTGATGCAATTGTAACGCGTAAGTAAAAGCTTTTAATAGGTTTTGGTCAAAATAAGCCAGTGGATAATAAATAATCTTGTCACATGAATATGAATTAAAATACACTCGTATGTACGGACAACGTATGGAGATACCTGTAATATTCTGCACGTCTACCCATCTCGCGAGATGGAACGCCAGCTTATACGCAGCGTAATTTCTCAACCGGTACATAAATTTACATCTGAAAATAAGTAATTTGCCGATTCAGTGGATCGTATGGCCTACTTATAGGCTCAGTTGACCACAAGACTGTTCTTTGCCAAGAAGTCGACATATAGCGGACACGCACTATCTAAATTTACAGTACATAAGCGATGCAGGCGTTCGTACACGCATGGGGTTATTATTCTGGCATTTTGTCGGCATTTTTGTGTTTATTTTTATTCATTTTGTCAGCAGTGTTTATAAGAAGAAGAACTGCACGAAACTTTCCCCCTGGACCACTGGGGCTCCCAGTTGTGGGAGTACTCCCCTTTTTAGGGAAGGACCCTCAGAGTACGTTAATGCAATGGGCAAAAAGGTATGGAGAGGTATTCAGCGTAAATCTTGGAGGCAACACAGTAGTAGTACTAAATGGTGTTGAAGCTGTCCGGGATGCTTTTCAGAGAAAGGCAACAGTTTTTGCTGGACGACCTCGAATACCCTCTTTTGACTTTTTGCATCACCGAGGTAAGCGGTTTCTGAGGAGGGAGGGGGGGGGGGGGGGGGGGGCAGTGGAGGAGGGGATGCACAACAATGCGCTTTAATTTGGTTAAATACAGAAGATCATTGTTATTCTTTGTATTTGTATTAATGTGTCTTAGTTTAACAAATTCAATAACAATTATTATTATTAGTATTATTCTTTGTACTGTCAAGATAGACAAAATGACAACCAGGAGGTGATAAGTTACGGTACAAAATGTATCCCGGTAGCTCGTTGTCATATAAGAAAAGTGTTTGTTTCATTACTCTCGTCGCCGTAAATCGTTTGACAAGTTTAAAGATATAGAAATGATATCCATTATTTTAAAGAAGTACAGTTATGTCTGAAAAAAAAAAAAAAAAAAGCATAACCCCACTTCTTCCTTCGGGTTTTCTAGGAATTATCTCTGCAGATTATGGTCCGGCATGGCAAGCTCACAGAGAATTCCTGATGCGTTACCTTCGTGGTACTGATGAAGACAAACTGGAAGAAAAAATAAATCGAGAAATAGACACTCTGATTGAGTTTTTACGACATAAAAACAAATCCAAGTTCAATTGTTCTGAGACATTAATGATTTCCGTTGCAAATATACTTATGTCAGTGTTATTTGGGGACCGCTTCGATTACGATAATCCGATGTTAAAAGAACTCATAAGATCTATTCACCGATCTGCAGAACTTAGTAATGAATCAAGTGTCATGAATTTCATTCCAATATTACGTTTCCTTCCACAGTGCATCGAAAGAAACAAGGAAGTAGATAATCTGTGTAACATAGTAGGCAATATACAAAGAAATCACTCAGAGATATATTGCGAAGGTGTCACCAGAGGACTAATGGATGCGTACACTAAAGAAAGCATGCAGCGCACTACAGCAAAGAGTGGTTTCTTTAATGAGAAAGAACTTGCCACACTTCTTGTTGATGTCATTATTGCTGGGACTGAGTCGATAGCAACAACCCTTTCTTGGGGAATACTTTTCCTCCTTCACGATCCCAAAGTCCAGCAAAATGTTCAGTCAGAACTAGACGAAGTCATTGGTAAACGACGCCCTACTCTGGCAGACAAGCCAAACCTTCCTTACACAAACGCAACCCTTATGGAAATACAACGATGTAATTATGTATTTCCTTTAGGGGTGCTTCACAGTACAACAAAGGACATAGAATTTCGAGGCCACAGGATCCCTAAGGGTTGTTGGATCCTTGCTAATTTCTGGTCAGTTATGATGAACGATGATGTGTACCTAAATCCGAGGGAATTCCGCCCTGAAAGGTTCCTTGGGGACTCTGGTAAATTACAACCACATGATGCTTTTCTCCCCTTTTCAGCTGGTAAGTTTGGTTCCCTAATGGCTTACAATGGCTCACAAGACTGCATACAGAAAAGCTGCGACTTGTACTTGTCAGTGCTAAAAACACTTGGCAAAAGGGTTGTTTACATTACATTTTGTATTTGTGACAGTCATTTCTTAATGAGTCAGGCCCATAGGCAGGGCAGTGGGGTTTTGAAAGAACTGTTCTTATAGCAGGAAAGGTCCACTCTGGATCAAAGTTTGTTCTAGGTTCCAAGCCATTTCTCAAGTTGGGTTTACTAAGGTGTAAAAAGTTCCACTATTTCAGAAAAAAGGAACCCCTTTTGGAATAGCCTTAAGTCGTTTCCATTTTTGGTTTTCAGGAAAGCGGTCCTGTGCAGGAGAACTCTTAGCAAGGCAACAACTCTTTCTAATGTTTACTCATCTACTACAAGCCTTTACATTCCAATTGCCGGAGGGAAGTGTTCTGCCAAAGTTAGAGGGCTCAACAGGGATCACCTACCAGCCTCCAAAGTTTGATGTGTGTGCCCATTTGAGGTTTTGAATTACAAGTATAAATATTTCTAAAAAATATTTTATTAGCAGGAGATAAAAAAAATAACGTGACCAATACAGTCTTTAAAACATTTTGATAAGGATGTATTTCCATTCATATGACACCTATGGAAAGTTTGAAAAGATCTGTAACTGGATGTCACTTGGTCCTCTTTGGCACAATTAACTGTTTTTACTTTTCTCTTCAACAGGAATAAGTGTAACCCTGTATAAAAGGGAATTGGGGCATATCATTGAAACACCTAACATAAAATGCTATAAACAAAAGAAAAATTAAAGTTAGCAAGACCATACATATTGTTCTTGGTAGTCAGCCAGGTAAGAAGAGAACATAGCACCGAGATGGAACCTTAACTAAAGTCTGGAAAAATGTATTCATCGTATACCATGGTTGCTTGCACGATGTTTTCTACCATGTATTCAGGAATGCACTGTTTGATAAAGTCTACAGTCAGCTGATATAATTGAGATTCTTTGTCCAAAGGTTTGCAGATATTCAGATGATCCGTGTCAATTTTGTAATACTCTCCAAATCCAGGATCTGGAAGATAATAATAATAATAATAATAAACTGTTTATCTTTACTACACACAAATAAAGTGGTCCCATGCAATAAGGCTCAACTTATTTTTCCCATTTATATAGTAGATTGTTTATATACAACAATAACCTAGGCCTGATATAGTGTATCAATAATCAAGGCAAAAAACTGAGAAAAATATATACTTACTACTTGAAGTTTCTGGAACTACAACAGATGTGTATGTTCCCAATTTAGGGCTTTTCAGCAATTCTGTTTCTTGGGTTTCTCCAAAGCTCCGACACAAAATTTTGTGATTCTCTGCAACTTGCTTAAAATCCTCATTGAGGGCATTTAATTTCTCTGAGCCTACAAAAGAAGATGGAAAAAGACTACAAGCAACTCTCATCCTTCACTGTGTCTTTGCTGCACCATGTACCAAATGACCATACATTTTATTTCTTATTTTTACCAAAGCCAGAGAACTGATGATTGTAATGCATAGTATTTAATAAAGTCTGTATCTATATATATAAATGCAATTAAGAGGCATCATATATATGACATACCTAACTTCAATTCTTGAACTTCAACTGATGGCTGCAGAATATACCTCCATTGTGTGGATGTGGCAGCCAAGGAGGCACCAAAGTGAGGCGTGCTGTAAAATATCACTCCCTTTGTATTCTTTAAGAGCTTGCTCATACTGGGATGTTCTCTAGCAAACACTTGCATCTGTTTGATTAAAAGACCTGAAATAATAATAATAATAATAATAATAATAATAATAATAATAATAATAATAATAAATAAATAAATAAAAAACAAGTGCAGCTTAGAGATAACTTCATTATTTTAATGCCCAAAGGTGGGTACTTATAACACAGAAAAAAAAAATATAAAAAATAAATAAGTGCAGCTTAGAGATAACTTCATTATTTTAATGCCCAAAGTTGGGTACTTATAACACAGTATAACAAAGCTGTGCAATGCATATGACTGAACACAGTTCCACTGACCTCCCATTGAATGTCCAACAAATACAACTGGCCTACTACCAATACCAGCCTTCTCCAACTTTTGGTACAAATCCATACTCCTTGCCTGCAGTGACCTCCTTTGAAAAGAAAAGAAACTCACATATAAGAACAAGGTTTTTATTATAGAATATATTTGTCAAACAGTAAATTGGCCCACGCAAATGAAAAATTTACAGGAAATCCAGAGCAGTTGCCCATAAATGTTATCTTTTACTATAATGTTATGCCAGGATCAGGGCTTTTCCCAGGATTGGGGGTACAGGCTGTCCAAAATTACCACCTGTAATTTCCTACAAAATTTCAGGGAGTCCAACTATGCCTATTTCCGAAATATCCATAAGCTGTCCAGCCATCTTAGAAAATATAAGCCGTCCGGTGATGCTGGCGGCTGTCCAAATGACAGCTGGACGGTTCATTGGGAAAACCCTTGACCAGGATGCATTTTAAGGTGCCATCACTGCTGAATGGGAGTCCTAGAAATTCACTCAAAATTGTCCTAGAGAAATTGGCAATATTAAAGCTCTTTTTCCCCCTAACAAACTCTGAAGGTGGTAGATTTTTAAGATTTTTTGGGAGCTGAGAAAATAATAATTTTTTTTAGTGCATCTCAGACACAAATATCAAAGCAAGGAATCTTTTAGTCTCTAAAATTACTAACAATTATAACTCACTTTTCTGTTTCAAAGGGGCATTCTGCCCTCCACTCTGACAGCATGGTGTCAAAATCTACAGCAACAATACGAATGTTTGGAAAATCTTCTGTCAGCCAATCCTATGGCAAGGGAAAGGAATATTATATTAGATATCAGATTATTATATTAGATTTTATCATCTAGATAGCAACAAAATATAAGTTTGGGGAATATAATGATGGCATAAAAGCACTTACTCTCTCGAGAAACAATTTACTTATTTACCATAAGTTTACATTTGTGAGAACCCCAATTTCCAATTACTTTTTACAGACAAAGATATATTTAAAAAGTAGGCATACAAACCTTTGGCCATGCATTACTGTACAAATTATGTGGCTTTACAGTTAAATTAGCCTCTTCTTGTTGAGTGGTTCTGGCTTTATCCACCTCTTCCTGCTGGGTGGTTTTGGCTTTATCAGCCTGTCTCCATGTTTTGAAAGCTCCTCCAAGCAAACCATGTACAAAAACAACATCTGCAAGCACTGGATCACTACAAGAAGCATGTAATAATCTTGATGTATTGTCATTATAATTGAAACAAAATTAAGGTGATAAATGATCTTGTCAAAGCTTGTGATATTCATTTGTAAGACATAAACACCAAGAAAGCAATTTTCCTCATATTTAAATAACCTGTGCATGCATCTTTCAATGGGAGAACACATTAAACATTCTTAAATGTATAATGACAATATGGCTGTATTCCCAGAGCTTTTAGATCGATCTATCCTCGCGGGTAGTCTCATTAGATTACTGTCAGATAATCCGGCTTAAATGTCCGTCCCGCCTACTACAAGCTGTAAGGGGGTAATTAACTTTCGTGTCCGCTCGGCTGACAGCTATTTAGCGTGAACCCCCCAGGGAGTTAGGTCGATCTAAAGTAGATCGATCTAATCTCTGGAAATGGGGTCTATGATAACAACCTCAGCCTGTCCTGCGGGTACAAAAGATAAATCCCATCTTCGTATTTCTGCCAACCAAAGTCTCTGTCCATATTTGCTAGTGCTCTGGCTGCATGACTTGACAGTTCCAAGTCATCAGTCTTCCGCCACTGAACGAGTCTTCTGATCCAACCTAAACCACACAACAGCAATTTCACAAATTTCATCATTTTTGAAAAGATGCAAATACTATCATACTTGATGCACAAAACAGAAGTAATAATAATAATAATAAAATGGGAGATAGAAGAAGAAATTGGTTTACCTAGGTGTTGCCCATAAAGTAACAGTGACTATGATTGCCTTTATATCAAATAAAACATGCGTCATTCATGGGCTATCCAGAATATATTGAAACTGATGATAAAATATAAGTTCGCAAAGTCTTGGGAAAAAAAATTGTGTTTTTTTTTATTTTACCTCCTTTAACTAGGTATGGATGCAGATCATCATGTAAGGCAATGTTACCAATCATCCTTGCAATGGTTCTTTGGATAGAAAGGTTACTGTCTTCATCATAACTTATTTTCATAAACAGTTCCAGTCCATTGTGTTGCACTATGTCCCTACAATGGCTTGGTATCTAGGTAAGTAACAGAGCAACTTAACATACAAAACAGAATTTGTGTAAAAATGTTTATTTGGAAGAATGTAAAACCTAAGATCATCATCACTTCTGAACAAGAAAAAATAAATCTGGTTAAAAAAATTATATTTATAAATGGAAGATCAGTGTGTCACACAGCTCTTTCAGCAATTTTTTGTGGCAAAATGTCAACATACATTGTAATATGACAAATACTAGTACTCTCACCATAGTATGATTAACTAAAGCTTGAAGAAAGAATGTTTCCAATTCTTGCACAGTTGGGAGTCTAATATAGCTCAGGTTTCCTCCACCAAATGACCAAGGACCTTCCTAGAAAAAATGAAGTAGACCTTGTCTTAAATGTTTGTTATTTTCTAAAAATTGACTTTCTGACGATTCTTTGTAGTTATTTTTACTAAAAATATCAAATCATTACAATTGTATCTATGAAATATAAGCCCTTGTCTCTACAGGATATCAAAATTGAACATGGTATTTTAAAAATTGAAGACCTAACCCCTACTTTGAAGTGCAAAAGAATGGCTGAACGATGTGTAAGTGACCTCTTGTACATTGTACTTTGGGATTTTACTACAGGGAAACTTTCCTATACTAAAGCAGGTTAATTTAAGTCAAGCCATTTGCAGCAGTCTAATGAGAATGCCTTGTTCAGAAAACATGCATTTTTTATAATGAAATGGTAATCATTACTGTTGTAATCCCATTTTATGGAAAATGTTGGCTTTCACAGGTTTTTGCACTTATATTACAATTAAAGTGAACATCCATTTACCTTTTAGAGGTGAACATCAGTCTAGCTTGTAAAGACCTTTATTTAACAGAAAACACTTTAACTTCTGTGATATCCTCTTACCACATCATCAGCATCCACATTTTCATTTCTGTAGATACCCTTCTTTATTGCTTCATCTGTTATATACTGTGTACACATATCTATTCCATTTTTTGGCAAAGATTCCAGAAGCTTCATTAAAACTTCATATGACCTTGTCTTGAAAAAAAAAATAGTTCAAAACAGATGAATAAAATTACACAATATCTTTTTTTACATTTACAAAATACAATTTTCTGGTACAAAGCAGTAATATAACTGTGTGTTAATTTCCAGTTATGTATTTAGGTATGGAAATATATACCTTAACAGTGACATAATTAAAACACACTTTAAAAAAGAGGTTGCTGGATGCAGAAGTCTAAAGCACTGTTTGTACAGTAGTCATGAGCCACTATTTTACAAATCTTTTACCCCAGAGACAACCATCCATGGTGGGCCCAAGAAGAACCTCAGGTCTACATTATGTGCCCTGGCTAAGCCTATAGAGGTTCTGGCATCAGCAAACTGAGCTATATCATTGCACTCATAGTCTGAAATGTAACTTGGTCAGTTAAACAAAAATATCATTTGTTTATGTTATAAACCTGTAGTAATGCCATCTCTAGATCATATTCATACAGGTAAAAAACGAAGCATTTACTTAAACATGCTATGGAAATGTTCTTACCTGGCAAATGGTGGTGCTTGGCTAGAGTCCTAACAGCCAACAGCCGCTTGCTTTGGTCGTTTGACTTGGTAAGTTTTAAGAGATGGTATGGGTTATTGCTAATTATGTCTCGCCATAAAAACAAATCACCTGTAAATACATGTATGGGACACAACATGTTTGAACCATTTTACTAAATTATGATCTTTTCTTGTTCTCATTTAAAGAGGATTCAACTGTTTATTTCAGAATTATGCACAGGAGAGTTTAGGCAAAACCAACATCAGTTTCTTTAAAGCTAAGCGGTGTGAGTACAGCAGCATGTAATGCACTACAGCATTAAAAATCTTTTAATAGAAACACTCAATTAAGAATAAATACAGGTACAATAAATGTCTTTTTTTAAACAGTTACCATTCTCAAGCACAAACTCCATGAAAATTTAAACAAAATTTACCAAGTTTGCTTTCAATATCTTTTAAGCTGAAGGGTTTTTTGTCATCATCTGTCCCTGTAAAGAGAAATACTAAAATGAGAAAGAATAAACTTGTAAATTATGAAAAAAAAACAAAAAAAAAACAAACAAACAAACAAATAAAACATTTGTCTTTGCGCTTGTCTGAATAAAACTAAAACTGTTTTCCGAAAAGATGCTACATTTTTGTTAAAATAAGATTGATTTTTTATTATTAATTTAAATAAGGGAAGGGACTGATCATCACTTTTACCATTTGCATCTTTTGCTTCTAACTTGATATATGGCTTTTTCTTCTTCTCGGTTTCAAACACTTCTGTTGTTACACGCAACTTCCTTCCAATGTCAAATATAAGATAGCTGAAAGTATGAACAAAATGCAATGATGACGCCTTTCAAAACTGAATAATAACTGCACTTGGATTCTCTAGGTAAAAAGTGGAACAAAAATGGAAACCACATCAGTATCTATCAGCTACAAAGTGCACTGCACAGACCAACTACTTAGTGGAAAGCAAAGAAAACAATCTGCTGCCATTTTCTTTCCTTTTTTGTAAGGAGTCCAAATACTCATTACTTTGACAGAAATGAAATATAAAAACATAGTAAAAAAAAATTAAAAAAAAGATGAAAGCAACTTACGTAGTAACTGCTATAAACCCAACAAATCCTGTCACTGCACATGTTCCAGCAACTAAAAAATTACAAAATCCGACAAATACTGTCACAACACAAGTTACATCAACTTAAAAATAATAATCTTCTAACTTTAAAAACAACTGATAAGAATTATATTTTATTTCATAGTATGTTCATGATAAACTTTAAGTTATTACAAAACAGTGCCAGTTAATAGAAAATGGTATAGTGCAGCCAAGTACACAAGTAAATGTAGTACACAACTCACAATTTCATTCAGACTAAATCAACTCTTGGATAGGAATGTTATTGTACCACCTAAAAGCTCATATGTTCAAAAATAAAGAAAACTTGAGTAAATTTTATTCTTAAAAATTCATAACTTTGCATTAGACTTTTCTACATCAAATGTACAATGGTTTAAAGACCCATTGGACTAGAAATTACTGTATGAGAGATATTCTGCTTTGACAGCATAGGAAGAGTAATTATTTCTCATTGTTGTCTAATGGCAACTGTCACTGACTTTTAAAATGCAACTTCAGTAAATTGGCACATTTGACAGGTACTAATTAAGATACCATGTGTTCATGTATCTATACTACATGTACTAGTACCATCCTGGCAAATCTACAGCACAATGTACTTCCAAATCTGTGCAACTTCAATCTTTAAAAATATAAATACTATTTGTGTTTTCTAACAAAAATTATGTTTACCATACCTATTTTTCCATGTTTCCACTTGGCCATAAGTCTCCAAATCTGACATCGGTTTGACTAACAATGACAACAATCTGTGGATGAAAAGGATTTGCAAGTGTATAATGGCAATGAACATTAGATAAAACCGCCTTGGTGAAACTGAATATCAGGTTTCACATTAGATCAACGAGCTTAATGCAACCCCTTTATTTCTAAAGAGTAGTGACGTCTAATCCCTGCACTAAAATCGAAAAATAAAAAGTGTAGATCTAGTCTAAGTTACAAGGTAGCACGAAAATTCATGCGTTAGCACTCCTATTGACGATTCTGATATGTACTATCTGTGCTACAGTACATATCAGAATCGTCAATATAACGCATGAATTTTCGTGCTAGTTAAAAGGCAGTAAAACAGGGGAAAACGTGCAGACGACGCCTGCTAAACCGTGGTTTTTAATGAGCGCAGCCAATGTTGTGTTGGCTTGCCATATTAAAGTCCATAATAATGAGCTAAAGTTAAGTTAAATTAATTCTTGAATTTATCCCAAAGGTCAAAATTATTTTTTTCAATCTAAATTTATTTAGCACATTTTAAACTTACCTCTTTTCGGCGAATGGACCCTTAAAAGTGACCTCACGATGAGCCAATCAAAAATCTATTTCTATCTTTTATTGGAATGAGTGGCGACTTTTTATTGGCTTTGCTATCAGAAGTACAGATGCAATTGTTTTCCCATTGTGCATTGTAGAAAAAGACGGAAGCGACAGTATGAGAACAAGTTGACTTTAGGAATGGGGGTGATATCAGAGTGTATGGACAATGCTGAATTGTCTGTGATCACATTTGCAGCAGCGAGCCACCCTAATGATCAATGCGGTGCGAATGGACTGCCCCTAACTCCTAACTCTATACGAATACTTGGTCTGTTTCAGAAGGTTAAGTCTCAAAAACATCCAAGGCTTTGCAGATACATTGATATTGAAAGAGGCAAACACGGTAGGTGAAATACTCTTTTAATCTTCAGTAGAAGAATTTACACTGTGCACTGATTTTATATTGTCAATGTTTGGACAAATTCAGGTTGATTTTTATTGAAATTTAGAGATATTATTCATAATTAATTTTTTGAAAAAAAAAACTAACAATTAACTTTTTTATTTTTATTTTATTTATTTATTATTTTTTTTAGGTAGAATACTGATGCAGGCGTATCTTATGTTTTTTCTTTTTCTTTATTCATGTCTTTAGAGAGGCTAATGGTTGTGTCTGAATTTCACCAAAGAAATTTGAAGAAAGATGCCAGAACTTTTAAGGGAGAGAGGTAGGTATAGATCTTTTGATTCAATGCCACACATCTTGACTACACTTGGAAGCAGGGATTGGCATCTCATTCTTTTGCTACACAATGGTAATGCTAGTAGAAGCTATGGGATGTCTAATAGCTTGTTTTTTAACTGAGAGTTTGCATTAACAGCACTACTAAAGACTCAAATCTTTCACTTGGAACAATAATATCAGTTGATTACCTCTTTTCATCTCATTAATCCCTGCAGCCATTAAAATGAGAAAAATGTGACTACAAATGATCCAAAATTATAATTTTATTCATTTAGGGCCTATAACATTGCTCACAGTGCCCATTGCCCTTTAAATCTTGATTAGTGCATTATTAAATGATTTAAGTTTAGTCAACTTTATATTTGCAGTGAAAAATTATTAATTGTGGCTTATGAAGTCCTTGAGGGCCTAAGCCACCTGAATGACCAGGGCATTGTACACAGGAGCCTGACCCCCGAGTGTATCCAGTTTGATAAACAGGTATTTTCCTATATGAGAAGAAAATACATCTAAATGGCACATAAAAAAACTAGGGTGCATTTTTGTTTAATTGTTAAAACTACATTTCTTTTCAAAATTACCAGAAATCAAATACCCTAGGCTAAGATTCAGACACTTACTGACAATCTCTTTGACCTTTTGAATGCTGTATACCATGCATAGTGGAAGAAATGGGACAAGGTTACGAAAATATATATATCAGACAGTATGAAGCTGACCCTCAAGCTAAAAAATGCAATGCATACTTGTTTTGGAATCTTTTTCTTTCAATTTGTTGCTGAACTTTTTAATAATTCAGGGGCATGTGAAACTAGCAGGATATGGTTTATATCATATGACAGATCAAGGAACAAGTGTTGCTTTTCCTATTGGGTAGGTGTGCTCAAAGAATTAACATTATGTTTTAAGGTGTGATCTACATGGTTTACTTTTGATCAAACATTGATGTAAAGATACAAATAGAGAACAATTATAATATTAGATTGTTCAACGTAATTTTGCAAGCGTCTTAATTAGTAAGTCACAGAAAGATTTGGGAGGCGTTTTGTTGTATAAATACCTTTAATGATATTATATACCAATCAAAAGAAACATAAATTGCTTGTTCATAGCTTGCTCATCTTAATCTACAGATCTCCTGCTTATTTGTCTCCTGAAGTCCTGGCTCATGGACCTAGCCTGATTAAGGAACACGGTTTTACTGAATCTGTCCCCAAACCTTATTCAAGCCCCAAGTGTGATGTCTGGTCTCTAGGAATTATCCTCCTTGAAACATTTTTTGTATGTTTTTAATTTATTATTTAGGAATCAAAGTTTGTTTGAAGATTAACAAAGAACATTTGTTATTATATAAGGCTTTATTTAACTGATGATTGACTATGTTGAAATCATTTAACTGGTAGTTAACAGTTTCATATTATTTTACATATAATTTGCCATATTAAAGACTAATGATGTAATTTTGACCTGTAATTTTGGATTATCTTTTTAAGTGAAAAACAAAAATGCAGGTAGTGCTGGGTTTTTAGGTTTTATATGATCAATATTCACTGATCTGAAACTATAGTTATAATATTTTATAGTTATAATATTTTATACCATTTGCTGAAATTTTATTTCCTCATTTAGGGTATTCGACTGTGGTACCAAAAAAGTCTAAGTGAACTGTTGAAGAAAACCCTTGAATTTACCAAGTCAGGTATGCATTTTTTCTGTTATCAAGGTGGCAATGTAGATGCCCACACTGCATATATATATCACCAAATTGTATTGATCTTAACAATGACTGTTTTTAAGATTGAATTTGAACTGATTTTAGATTTTAAGGGCCATTTGATTTCTTTGTTCAGATGTGGAGCCATTCAAGCACATAATAGATGAACACAATCTTGGACTGAAATTACAATCAATGCCTCAAAATCTCCAGGATTTTATACAAAATTGTCTGACAGGATCTGTTTCCAAAAGGTGAATTCATATGTGCAGATATTTATTCCTTTTCCTTTTTGTCTAATTATTCATTTTTTGTATAAATTTGAATAAAAATAAAAAATTAGGAAAAATTTACTCCAAACAACTGGTAAATGTTGTATTGTAGGAGAAGCTGATTTAAACATTGCTTATTTACAGTAGATAGGGAAAGCAATTACAATTTGAACAGATATAGTAATATCACAACGTCGGATAAGAGTACCAGAAAAGTCTTAAGTGTACTGGTCATGATAACTTGAAGAAAACTTGAAATTTGTTACTTCCCTCTTTTTTAGATCAAGTCCAAAGCAGTTGCTGCAGCATCAAGTTTTTTGCAGACACCAAAATGTAATCAAGGTAAGTAATATTTTTTTAACTTACTGGTCCACATCTTTATGATCAGTGCTCACATATGAACTGTATTCAGATTATACAGGATTCCTCTGATAAATACGAAATAAAAACTTGATGTTGTTACTTATGTTTCAGAATTATCTTTGTTTATTTTAGACACCCTACATCGATTTATTGTACCCATTCTCTGCCAAACTGAGATGTGAAGAATTAGAAATGCCAAAAGAAGGAGATTTCGAGGATGGTATATATCATATTACCATTTGCTAACAGTGACTACGTCAGTGTAATTCTACTGAAGTAAAAGAGGCATTAGAATTATGAATAGACATTATTTTTAATCTTTGTAAAATATATATGATTCAAAATTATGATGCTTCTTTAATTCACCTTTGTGCATAGTTTGTAATTGTTAAAATGTTTTATATTACCTAAAGAGCATGAAGAACCAATACGTAGGCGCCCCTTAGAAGAAGTATACTATTTGTGGCAAAGGGCTGGTGGAGATCTTGAATCAATTCTCAGAAAGGCAGAGTTGTTGAAAGCAAAGCCGCCTGTTACCATTTTGCCTCAGTAAGTTTTTAAGTTGTGTTACTATAATACTTAGTGAAAGTTTTTAACCTCTATTAGCACATTCAGAACAGCGGACTAACAGATTCTGTATGCTTTCTGTCTTTTAAGATACCAGAACAATTATATGTCATCAATTTGAGTGCATACTTACATTGTAAGAAAGAATTTAAATGTAAAACTGAACTGAATTTAGTACATACCACATACTTAAGTAGTCTATATTTTTGTCCCAAAGCTTTGTGATTGAAGATGGTGAGACTTTTGGTCAGTCTCGAGACAGCTCTGACTTGCTAGATGAAACTGTCATATTGCTAAATTTGGATCAACTTAGACAGGTAACTGGTGATATTATGATATGTAGTATTGATATGCAAATAATATTGTGAAGGCACATTGTTTTTTTTTCACATAACATCTCAATTTATCATTTTCTCTACTTTTTATTGATTTGATGAAAGCAGTTGTTTGCTACATACACACCACTTTGTTTTTCCATGCCATTAGAAGAATGGTCATCAATTTGATGTGTATTTAATTTACATGGTATTTGTGATCTTCAGAGTGTTTTAAAACTTCCTATTTCCAGAGATTGAAGGATATCCCAGAAGAAGCCTATTATCCCCTTCTTGAGGATGAGTAAGTTGTAGTTTTAAAAGTTCGTGTGTGATATATTTAAATAGTAATATATTTTATACTTATCATTTTTTATACAAATCAAATCATTATACTTTATCAGGATTTTATCTCTCATAGTGAGAGATTTAATAAATGTATTTGTATTTTCACCTATTTCCCACCAAAATCTGTGTCATCTCCAGATATTCTATAAGAAATATCTTCAATAAAAATGGTTTATCAGTATTTTGTGTATTACCAGTATGAGCGTTATTAAGTGCAAAATTATACATACCTGTAGAAACAGCATACAAGGCAATATGCAAGCAGGACCAGAGCAGAATTCAGAGGAAACATCTGAGACATCAAGACTGCCATTAGTCATCAAAGAAAAAGATGTTGAATATCAAGTATGTTTAACCTAGTAATAAAAGTAATTGATTTTAAATGGTAGTTATAAACTAGTAATTTCATGAAATTACCATGTCAGATATAAGCAATATAATAGGATCGACATGTCCTTTTACTGCTTACTGAAATGAATATGTTATCCCATGAATACTATTTACCATATAAAATATTTCTGGAGTGAACACATCTTTCATTAATTTGGTTAATAACAGAAGCCCATATTGCTTAGATCAACAAAACACAACACTGTTGCTTATTGGGAATGATTTCATTTCTTTATATTCTTTTCCCTAGTTTCACAGGATAATCTTGTTCAGCAGGCTATTGAAAGGGTACCCATTCAAGCGACCTCACCTACTAAAGGAAGCTAGGGTGGATATCCCACCTCTAGTCAGAGGACATGTCTGGGCTGCACTTTTGGAAGTCGAGGTATATTTGTCATGCTGAACCCAGTTAGTTCAAGAAAATACTACAACAAAACATTGTTAATATATTGAAGACACTCATTATTTTGTACTTTCTAATTAGATATTGCTAATTTATGATGAAAAATTTGTATTTGGTCTTCCTCTGATCTGTAGCCATATGGTACATTTAGAATTTTTTTCATTAGATTAGAATTTTCTGCATATTAAAAGACAAAAATAGTCTCTCATATTCACCTAACGCATAAGTGTCATGTACTCATGCAACTTTCCTCGTTGACAATTAAAAGGTCTTATTCTTTAGGGAGATGTCCAAGAGCAGTATGATAGAATAGATAAGGAGACCCCAACTGCTACTGATCGTCAAATTGAAGTGGACATTCCAAGGTGTCATCAGTACAACGAGCTGCTCTCTTCTCCAGCAGGCCATGCTAAACTAAAGAGAATCTTAAAAGCATGGGTCATTTCAAACCCACAGTATGTGTACTGGCAAGGGCTGGACTCCCTTTGTGCTCCATTCCTTTATCTGAATTTTAATGATGAAGGTAATGCATTTGGTGTTTGAATTTATGAGAAATGTTGAAGATGATGAAACGGTTATCAAGTCTCCTATGTTGGCAGATTTTTAAGATTTGATTTAATTTTTTTATGTGTGTTAATCTTCAGTGATGTGTGTTTCAAACTAAAAAAAAAAAAAAAGAAAAAGAAAGTAAACAGTAGACATAGGGCTCATTCCCAGTTAACTATCATTCTATGTAGGTCAATGCAACTCCATTGGGACTCAGCTGAATGCAGTCAGGTTAACAGATTAACACATCTCTTGTTTCCAACATACTCTTTTAATCTCGTATAATCACTAGCCTTTCTGTATTCTACTCAATGCCTGGAGGAGGTGTGTCCATCTGATTGCATTCAGCAAGAGTCCCCACAGAGTTGGATTGATCTACATAGTAGGAGAGTGTTGTTGGGAATGAGCCCATAGAATGTTCAGTTGTCCACTGACCATGTATTTGAATTTATTTTTCAGCATTGGCATATGCTTGCCTAGCCAAGTTTATCCCAAAATATTTGCACAATTTTTTTCTCAAGGACAACTCTGCAGTGATACAAGGTAAAATTAATGTGAATTACATCAAATGTCTCAGTAATTTGTATTTTTGACGTAAGATAAAAGTAATTACTTTTTTGTTTAATCATGTTATAAATTACTTAAGTAAATGTTATTTAAAATCATATGTCACTACTGTTTCTAGTTTTTGACAGTGTTATTGTTAGACTATCTTGCCAATGTAGTCTAATATGTTGTCTGTGTATATTTATTTTTTTTTCTTTTCTTCTAGAGTACTTGGCAGTATTTTCTAATCTTATTGCTTTCCATGACCCTGAGCTGTTCAACCATTTAGATGAAATAGGATTCATACCAGATGTAAGAAAAGTCTTCTCATTTCTGTGCTTGTATTTTTTTTATGTAATAAAAAGTAAATATGGTTTAAAATGGTGCCAAAGATTCAAAGCATATGCTTTTATTATTCGTATTGCTGCTCAGTTTTTAAATTTCTTACCCTTTTGTGCACATTATTGTGGAATTTACTTACAGCTCATCTGCATTATACCAAAGTGAATTGAACATTTAATTTTTTCCCTTTTCAGCTCTATTCTATCCCATGGTTTCTTACTATGTATGCACGTAAGTTTTAATTGTTACTGTAATGGGGAAAAAGCAGATGAGCATGGATTAATATGTACCTGTTGATTACTTGGATTAACAAATCATTGATATTAGATTTGAAAATGAGTTAATAGATGAAACATTTTTACTCATACATTTCATTGAGTTTCAGCACCTGCTACAGTGCTTAATTGTGCTGGTTTTTAAGAGTAGACAAGTACAAAATTTTATAATATTATGACCACAGAACTGTTTGATTCTTTTTTTGATAGGATAGCTTTTTGAAATAATTGCAGATGTTTTCCCACTCCACAAGATTGTTCATCTGTGGGACACGCTGCTGCTGGGAAACTCTTCCTTCCCTCTCTGCATTGGAGTTGCCATTTTAAAGCAGCTCAAGGACCGTCTACTTACATTTGGTTTCAATGAGTGCATCTTGCTGTTCTCAGATATGCCAGGTGATTGTTTATGTAACAGATACACCATGAGTCAGCGAGGCATGTAATATATACTAGTGACAAATGTAAGGGTTTGTCATAAATATTATGCATGTAGTGGGGTATCCGATTTTTACCATGGCAGATGTAGTTGACAAAAGACCCAGCTGTGATGTAGGCCAAATTCATTGTGTGGATTTTTAAACTATTAGCTGCAGTATAAGTGATTCTGTTTCATTGAGTAACCTAAAAGAGTCAATGACCACTGATGTCCTCTGATGCAAAATAAGCAATTAATTTAATTTTTTATGTACAGACACAGATGTGTCTGTACATATAGCCGTCATCTGCGTCTGTCGTCGCCGTCGTTGCCGTCGTCGCCGTTGTTGCCGTCGTCGCCGTCGCCGTGCACTTTTACCGATAACACGATAAGTGGAAAACTGTTTTTTCTTTTTGTTTGAAACTTACAGAACTGATGAATATTCATAATACGCAGGTCAAGTTCGAAAATCAGCATGATCGGGTCACTTATAGGGAATTTATGCTGTTTTTTCACTTTTTTCAGCATATATGCAGCACCGATAACACAATAAGTGGAAAACCATTTTACCTTTTGGCTTGAAACTTACAGAACTGATGAATATACATAATACGCAGGTCAAGTTCGAAAATCAGCGTGATTGGGTCATTTTTAGTGAATTTAGGCTATTTTTTCTCTATTTTCAGCATAAATACAGCACCGATAACACGATAAGTGGAAAACCATTTTACCTTTTGGCTTGAAACTTACAGAACTGATGAATATTCATAATACGCAGGTCAAGTTCGAAAATCAGCACGATCGGGTCACTTATAGGGAATTTATGCTGTTTTTTCACTTTTTTCAGCATATATGCAGCACCGATAACACAATAAGTGGAAAACCATTTTACCTTTTGGCTTGAAACTTACAGAACTGATGAATATACATAATACGCAGGTCAAGTTCGAAAATCAGCGTGATTGGGTCATTTTTAGTGAATTTAGGCTATTTTTTCT